ATTATTTTTAAATTTAATTTTGAATTTATTTTTATTTTTTGATTGATTTTCTTTGCTTTATAAAATTATTTTTTAATATAAAAAAAAAGTATTTTAATATTTTGTTCAATATAAAATGAGATTTGTGAGCAAATTCCTTGGTTTGTAAGAAAATCTTTAGACTTTTAATCTTGGCTTTGACTTGTAGTATATGAATATTTAATATCCTGTTTGGTTTATAACGTAAATTTCAATATTTACAGTGCTGGCAAATAGTTGCAGTTTTAACTTAACAACTTTTATAAATCTACACAATTTGCAAATTCGTCAGCATACCAGGTATTTCTCATCACTCTCATCTTCCATCATTCCTGCATTGGTCACATTATCTATGTTATCAGCCCCGACTTCTGCCACATTTTCAAAGCCGTGACATCTATTTTTGTCTTTTTTTTTTTCTTTAAATAGCTATTCCCCGAGCTTTAATGTTTTAGCAGTTGTTAGGCAACTGAGATTAGATATCATAGGATGCACATTCCCCGCGGCTGCAGTGCATTCAGTATGACCTAATTAATGGCACACACTCGTTTCTGCAGGGGATTACAGCGCAATACTCGTTCAAAGCCTGTACTGCCAACACTTAGGGGTCGGCCATGTGGAGTGTGGAGTGTGAATGTGAGTGGATGGTTAAGCAAAAGGGAAGCTGCGCAAAAAAAAAGAGAAATCAAAACATAGAGGTACAAGTGCCCAGCAGGCAGCTGTTTGCTGTTGATGGTTGTCGAGTGCATGCAAATTGCCATCCAGAAGATGCTGAACATGTGCCCGTGTCCGTCCAGCAACCATGGCGTTTTCTGTGCTCCTCCTCCCCTTCAGCGCTCTTCACTCTCCACTCCTCACTACCTACTCTATCTCTCCCTCACCTATCCTTCGGCTCCAGTTGATTTGTATGCGCGCAGCGGTCGGGGCCAGCGTTCAGTTTTTTTTTTTTTTTTTTTTTTTTTTGTTGGTCCCAACTTCTCAGATGTTGTCCAAACGTTTTTGGCAAGTGGCAAACAGGACAGAAGCAGCTGCCATTTGGCATTAAAGGCGTGCCACCGACCACAGCGCTGCCGAGCCATTTGCTTTTTACCCCACAGCAGCCTCCCATTGCCCCTTAACTGCGCCAAGGTCGCGCCAGCCATTCACTTTGAGCTTTTGAATTCTCAAAAAGGCTGCGAGCAACAACTGACATCCATTTTGAGCATTCAGGCTGCATGTTTCGGCAGCCGCAGAAAAACGCTCAACTGGCAAAATTGCAATGCAGGCGCGAATTTTGCTTCAATTTGCATCGGGCTGATGACTTGGACGTGCTAAGCTTCGTTTACTTACAGATTAAAGTGCGCATCGGCCATAGTTGGTCGGTGTGCCAGGGCCGATTGCAGCGCCAGCTTGGCCTCCTCATAGCGTCCCTGGCTGCTCAAGACGCTGCCCAGATTTCCCAGAGCTGCAAAGAATGTCGAAAGTAGTTCAAGTCAATGCAAACTAGAGAGTCGAAAGTGGAATACATTTCATAGGGAAATTATGTATAAAATATAGGTCAATGAATATGAGAGGTTTAAATTTGAGTAGCTTTAAGAAACTTTATAAATTGTAAAAGCTTAGTTAAGTAACTTGAAAGGTGCCGTATCTTCGTTTAGCTAATTAAGTAAATATAAAAATAATTTTTAATATAACGTTAAATATATAGTTTTATGTGGCCTTTGGTTTGACTTTTAAATCAGATTCTAAGCTCTTCATTTAATTAATATAAAAAAGCCTTTTTCAGCTTAACTTAACTTACTTAAGTTAAGATTTAGTTAGTTTAGTTGCTTGAATCAAACGACTGATTTTAGATCAATTTCACGGACCAAATAAAGCTATATATCATATAATTTCAATATAATAAATTCTTTCTAGCTCTTCTCGCTTCTTTTACACCTACCTTTCGGTGGATTGATGGCAATAGCGCTACGGAACAGCTGCTCCTCGTTCTGCCAGTCGAGATTGCGTTGAATCGTGCGCAGACTAAAGGTGCCCAGCAGCAGGCCAAGACAGCAGAGCARCAGCAGCCTGTGGACAGAGCTGTGCAAACGCTGCCAGAGGCGGCCAAAGCCTAGGCCCAGCATGAGACAATAGCCAACACTGGGCAGATAGAGTAGACGCTCGGCCAGCACGAAGCCCACGTGGAAGAACAAATTGCAGGCGGGCAGAAAGGGCAGCACCATGAAGGCTATACAGGTAACAAAGACAGACGCTGATGCGGATGTCGCTGCAGCTGAGGTGGCGGAGGAGGCGGAGCAGGCAGACCGGTCAACTGAAGCCTTGTGCTGCAGCGACGATCGTTGTTGCTGTTGCGGTTCGAGCTGATGATGGCAGGCGCAGACGAGTCCGTGCCACGCCTGGCAGCTGCTGCCGCCCAGACGCTGCAGCAGCGGCAGCGAAATGCTCGTGGCCACAGCTGCATAGTCCACGGAGCTGCTGGCAGTGGAGCGCCAGCGAATGCCCTGGCAGGTCACGGCCAGCAAGATGCCGTAGAATGACAGGCTCAGCACATTACGGGCATCCCATAGCGTTCTGATTCGTGGTATGGCCTCCATGCCCCAATCGAAGCTCAGGTGCTGCGGCCAGAGTAGCAGCTGAAAGTTTGCCACAGGCAGGTACAGGTAGCTGAGTGTGCGTGTCCACCAGCTGGGCTCATGGGCCGTCGGATTATCGGCGGCGGCGAATGCAGTCGAGGGGCGTGGCACAATGCTGAGGCGACAGTAGAGAGCGCAGAGCAGAGCGGCGCTCAGAATGGTGAGCGAGCGCAGGCGATGCTGGAATCGCAAGAGATGGGGGAATATGTTACACATGTGTAAGGGATGAAGATTAGCATATATAATTTATATGTGTGTAAAGATATTACTCAAGTGCGTCAGTTCACACAGATGTTTAGTATTAAGGAGCTGCTGTGACACTCACCTTGTCGTCTCCGGCATGCTTGACGCTTTGGCCGAGGCCCAGGAGGTCGCACAGTCCGCATAGCAGCAGCAGCGTAATGGCSGTCTCCTTGCAGAGCAGCGCCGCTACAGCCAGCAGCAGTGTGAGCGCCAGCGAGCGCCAATCCCTGTGCAGCATGTGCCGGCGATAGACCAGGTAGGCGAGCAGCCAGCAAACTGTGGCACTTAAGTCGGCACGGCCCACCACACCGGCCACAGCCTCCGTGTGCACGGGATGGGCGGCGAAGAGGCAGCCGGCGGCATAGACGGCCGCACGTGTGGGCAGCAGGCTGCGTGCCACGTGCACCACCAAGACGGTGGCCAGGCCGTGCAGCAGCAGGTTGACCAGGTGGAAGGGCCAGGCAGCGCCGCCGCCCAGCACGAAATTGAGACGAAAGCCCAGCACGCACAGCGGACGCCAGGAGCCATGGGAGCCGCTGTCCGTCAGCGGTGTGCCCCAGTAATCATTCTGCAGCAGCTGAGCCAGCGGCCCGTTTCCAGTTACATCCGCATTGCCCAAGATGGCGCGCCTGCAAGCAAAGATAGAGGTGGTGAGATGGTGCGATAGAGTGGCAGTGGGAGTGGGAGTGAGATAGCAGAGTGTAGCATGCTCGCATTACCTGAACCGACAACAACCTGTGGCACACCTGTCCTATTAATTAAAATGATTAATTGCCCAGTCAGCCCCAAAGCACAAAGCCCTGCGGCAAAACTTAACTCGCTCTCCCTCTCTCTCTCTCTCTCTCTGTCTGCTTCTATCTCTCTCTGTCCCTATACTCCCACTCGACGCGACTCGAATCGAGCCGGTGTGGACTAGAGTTAGCTCGGATCGGATCGGGTTTCCTGCCACATGCAACTTGAGCTAGCCAGGCTAGCGAACGCTGTGCCTCTGCTTATTTTTATTGTCCTTTTGTTTTTGTGCCCGGCATAAATATTGCCCCCCCGCCGAGCGACAGGACAACACTCGCTGCCTTCTCCTGCCTCCTTTTCGTCCCCCCCTTAATTGCCGATTTGTTGGCGCACTTGGTGTCGTGCTCAGTGTTATTGCCCCCCCTGTTATTCTACTCTATATATACACACACACACACACAGAGACACACACCCCCCCCCGTCGGCACACTCTATTGTCACTGGGCAAAGTCAACGGCTCTTTGGTACCCCCCCCACCGTTGTAGCTTTGCTTGTTGTTCTAATCGATTTCCAGTCTGTCCCCCCCCCCTGGCCCAGTGCCACTACCGTCGCGTCGCTCCAGCCAAGGCCTAGGACCTCTGCTGTCGTTGTTGTTGTTCTCGATGTTGTTTTGTTGTTATTGTTGCACAGTTTGAAATTTATAGTAGGTTTGCAATAATACCTTAGCTATTTTATGCATAATTAGTTTTCAACGTTATCCAGCAAACGCTATTAATTAACCTTCCCTTACAGAGGCAACGCTTCACTGCGCTCAAATGACACAGGCCAAACAAATATATTCGATAATGGTGAATAAGTGTAACAGGTATTTGAGAAAAGTTGAATAACATGAAAATTTCTATTGGACTTTTCCATGTGATTACCGATGAAGTGAAATAAGGCTTTCATAAAATACATAGCTTTATTTATAGGCATGATGAAGCCCTGTTTAAAGCCTATTACTGAATGTTATATAGAGTAATTATTCTCATAATATAATATATAATACATAATATATAAAAAAAATTCTATAGCAGACTGTGTCAAGGAACTTTCACATTAACATAAAAGCGTTTTAAAATGATTAAGGTAACAAAACTTGTCAGAACATTAAGAGACTGAGTAAAATAATTAAAGCATACAATAAATATATGTTTCATATCCATAAAATATCAAGGAATTATGCTAAAACTATGGGAGGTAAATTTTACAAAGTATTTAATTAAATTTAAATCCAAAATTTGAAGGCAATAAGTAATTTACATATATGGGATATATTGTATAAAAATCATATATAGGTTATAGATCATACAACTATATAGCTATAATATATAGCATATAGTAAGTTCTTATACCGAGCTCAAACCAATTGATTGTCTTAAAAAGTAATTGAAATCCTTCTCGAATATGCCTTTCATTATTATTTGAAAATTTAGACTTTCTGCTAAGGCTTATAGATACGTTTGTTCATTTCCCACAAATTCAATAAACTTTTATTTAGGCAACTAACATAAGCTTTAAAGTATAGAAATAGTTTATAATTATGGAAATTCCCTTTTTCGCCTCATGCGCCCCAAAGTTTAGTTTTAAAGCTTTAAACTCGGCTATTCATTCATAGATAACTGACATGCACAGACATCCACGCTCGCCCGAAAGTAATTTGTGTTTACTTTGGTCTTAACTGGCCCGCGGGCCGTAGTTTTAGGTTTCTGGCATTCAAACTCAAAAGTTAACACAAGCATTTTATTCCCTTTTTTGGTTTTTCGGCTTTCGTTTTTTGTTGTTTTGCTTAGCTGGCGGCTATAGAAGGGATGCGTTTGTTTTCAAGCCATATAAGAAACATCAATAAATAATGGATAGGTAAAAATAATAAAAGCACTTCATATGCAAAAACCCAAATATTTTTGTAATTTCTAAAGCAATTCAAGAGGGAAGCCAAAAAAAATATGAAATTGCATTTTTCAATTTTAATACGAATATTTTATTTAGCAGCTGCCCGGAAATACTATATAAAAATATTGTGAATGGTTCTCAATGCTTTATTGTCCATGTGTGTGTGTTTGTGGGTGTGTGTGTGTTGCATGCAACACTTCATATGCATGAATGGTGGCATAAAAGCGCACGCTCAAGTGTGGAGCGGGTGTATGGCATATGCCACAAATTGGGTGCGCAAATTCGGTGGTGAGACGTGGATAAATTACTGGTGGGGCAGCAGCAGCACCACCGCTACCAGCAACAGCAGTAGTCATTGCTTTGGTACTTCCATCTATACTTCAATTTCAATTGGCATTTTCTTCTGCGCAAAGCAGCCACAAAAATGTTGAGAGGGGGAAAAAGAGAGCGAGAGAGAGAGAGAGATAGAGAGAGGGAGAGAGATACAGCAAACAAATTCTTATCGGAAACACACAGAGCTCAAGAAAAACTGAGCTAGGGTATGAAGCCCCTCTCTCTCTCTCTCACACACTTTTCCTGTGTGCTTCGGCTGCAGTTTCAATTTTTGCATTTCTGTTGCTTTGCACTATGGCAACGCACAACAAAAATTTAGCTACGCCTCATTTGCAAGGATCTCAAGCAGCAGGAGCCAAACGATGGCAAATATTGAAAAGCATTTCGGGCTGCATACCTTTGAACAGCAACAAGGGCATTGTATGCCAAGCTCCTCTGTGTTGCCTTTCGGCTTAATTTTTGCCCAGTCAAAGTGTGGGTGGCGCGGGAGGAGGGTGGAGTGAGCTGCTGGTGACTGTGTTACTGTGCCTCGGCGACGCCGAAACTTGTCGCCCAACGTCAGCGTCAACATTATCGTCTCATCAGCAGAATATCCGCAGTGCCTTTTTTGTGCTTTATCATCGTAACTAGTGAATGAATAGCAATACTCTCGCTGAGCAGGTGGCAGCAGAGGCAGTAGAGGGGCACAACAACGAAAACATCAACACCAACAGCCGTGCAGGCAGCATTGGTGGTGGGGCACTTTGTCAGCAACAGCAGCCGCAGCAGCAGAGGCAAAGGCAGAGGCAGCAGCAAAAATGCCAAGATTCAAGCAGCTTACAAGTGTGGCATGTAGTAGCTGCCGTTATCGTTCGCTCTTCACTCGCACTCGAGGGCCAGGCAGGCGACGAGCACTGTAGCCAGGAGACAGGAGCTGCTTTGCCATGGCACGAGCCATGGCCAGAGGCACTAGGCATTAAGCCTGATACAGTGGAAGCGAGTGGAGAGGGCAAATGAGAATGTGATGAGTGCATGGAATAGATAAGCTCGTTATTAATATAATTTTCAGATATACATATAAACAGAGCTTGGAATTCAAATTAATTATGTAAGGAAAATATTTTTAGTCTGTTCTTTATTTTGTTTTCTTTTTGTTCATTCACTTTCCTCATAATACAATATATTAATAAATTGTTTGAATTGCTCATATATATTTATAAAATTTAAAACTAAATATTTTTAAATAAAAAATAAAAATGTATGTATTTAAAATTTAAAAAATAATTTAGATAAACTCAAAAAAATATATATCCTTGAGTATATTTTTGCATTATATAAAATTTGAATGTTTATGTTTACATGTCTTAACTTTGTTTAAAATCTATTAATTTTAATTATTAAACATTTATTTGTATTTAAAAATTGTATTTAAAAATTGTATTTAAAAATAATTAAATGTATTATTTAACAACCGGAGCGCTCTAATTAAAGAAAAATAATATTTATAATTTATACTTGCATAGCTAATATAATATCTTCTTACATAGAATTACAAGAATCGCTCCACTGTTCTCTGGCAAAAGATTCACCTACACATACTCACACTCACACTCGCACTCACACACGCATGCACGCACAGGACTGTGGTTGGCTTTTGTCGAAGACAATATATCATAGCATCAGCAGCGAGCACACCCAATGTGGAGCGTAACACACTGAGGCACAGCCTCTCCGTCCGCATGCCAGCCAAGCAACTCCTCTCTGCCTCTCTCTCTCTCTCTCTCTCTCTCTCTCTCGCTCTGGGCCCGCGCTCTATCTCTACCTTTGTTGTCGCCCCTCACCTGATACACTGGCGTTATGGCTACCCGCAAACACTTGTATGTTTTGTGGAGCTGCTGCTGCTGCTTATGCAAAGTGAAAATTTTCGATTTTCTATAAAAAATAGAAGAAAGAAAGCATGGAAAACGAGCACAAAATGCCGTTGCTTCCAGCCGTGCCCACTCTATCGCTGTCGAAGTGCGCTTGGAGCCTAACGGGCGTATGGCCATCAAAAAATTACGTATACGTTTCATACTCTTTTGTGGTTGTTGCTGTTCTTGTTGCTGTTGTTGTTGTCTGTTGTCACTGTCCTTTTAATACGGCACATAAATTATTGTAAGACTGCAGATTGGCTCTTTGGCAACATTTTGTAGCTGCGTCGTTGTTGTTGTTGTAGGTATTTTTCAGTCTTTTTTCAGTGTTCAGAGGCAAATATATCAAGTTGTGAGGTGTGAAACGTTTGACCATAGGCAAAGCCTTACAAAAACTGCCACAGCAAGCTCTTTAAAATCGAGTGACAAAGTCTGTGGCCAAATGATAAATGATAAACCTGTTGGACCACCTAATATTATAAGCATAAGAGCATAACTCGCAATGGGAACAGCATTAAGCCGGCTTGGGATGTTTTTCGTTTTGGTAAAAGAAATATAGATAATTGAAATGAAAATAATAATTAGGTTGCGTGCACAATAAATGCATAAGTACTTCAAGATTTTATCGGGTATATGTGAAATTAACTATTGATTTATATAAAGGGCCATTTTTAATTTATTTGTTAATTATTTATGAATTTTAGTCACGTTATTCCAACGATAAATTTTAGAGCTTCCTAATATTATAGAACATTTTCATTAAATTTATTATTTTAGGCTTAAAGTACTTAAATAAATAAACAAAACTAAAGCAGAATTTTCGATGACTATAAAGGAACAAAATATTCTTTAAAATACTTATGATTGTCATAGTAATACAAATTACAAACTATTTGCTTGCCTTGCCCTCATATATATGTTTACATATATCTACACCTGCACCTAACTTATCTCATTAGTATTACATAAAGATCGTTACCTCAATTGCAGCACAAAAAACACTTAATTTATGCATTTATTATCAGGCAATGTGTGTGTGTGTGTGTATGTTTGTGTTGGTCTTAACTTCGAACATAATTCGTTTTATTTTGTGATTTGTATCCGAAATATATCATGCGAAACTTTTTAAAAACTCATATCTCTGCAACTATTGTACAACAGGAATACATATTACACTCACACCCACACCCCACCCACACCTATGTATGTCTCGATGGCCTCTGTGTGTGTGTGTATGGCAAAACGATGAACGAAACAAAACATGAAACAATTCACAGCACACGTGAAAAATGTTTATGGATCGCTATGCCACACCCTCGAAACGCCCACCAAGCAGCCACCCCCACACACTCTATGGCAGTGTGTAAGCATTGGCCATTGCTCTTTTTCCAGTTGATAGGAAACAAATTGAAGGGAATGCTGCCATTTAATAAATCATGTTTTGTTTGGCTTGGCTTGACAATAATAACTTGTGCTCATGTGGCAACTGTGGCCATGTTGTGTGTGTGTGTGTGTGTGTGTGTGTGTGTATTTGTGTGTGACCACAACAGCAACAACAACAATAGCTGAAGCTGCATAGGTAGGCTACGCCAGTGCTGGAGCTGGTGTTGGCAGCTGCGTGAAGCTGACCACAGTAGCATCCGCTGCTCCGACCAAAAAAACATCAGCTCGCCAAGAACTTTTCGTCCCCAAAAGGGAAGCCTTGTTCAACTAGGCTAGCAGACGGTGGCAGGACGTGGCGGACTAAGGTGGCACTGAGTTACATAAGTTGCGTTTATTATTTGAGTGTGTCTGTAAGTTTTGTGCTTGTTTTCAGCAAAAAAA